CAGGACACGAACTGGCCCTGGAAGGAACCCCTTGGTACCAAGGCTTCTGGTTTTGATTGGTTTGTTTGTTTTCCCTCCCAATGTCTCCCCGGGTATGTGCTGTCCTCACCGACTTCTCAATGCATGAGACGATGCCCTGAGCTCGTCTCCAGCTGCACTGTGGAGCTGCCCTGACCCCAAATCCATCCTTTACCTTGCTCCTTTGATTTGCTTTACTGGTTTTGTGGCTCCCTGTGGTTTGAACAGGCTCAGAAACAGACGCAGACTACATCTATAGCAATGCATGAAACAGTGCATTGCAACGAAGTCTCTCCACTCAATTGCGAGCAAGGTCCTGGGATCCCTTGAGCTGAGGCCAGCTCTCACAGTCCTAAGCAATTCCCCACAGGCACTCTACAGGAGTCAACGGGGAGGGATTCATCCTCAATAGGCATTTGGGATACGGCCACCTTGTCTGGATTTTAACAGCATGGACATGGCCAAACCATACCAGTTTGCCTCCAGGCCTGAAAAAGAGCTCTTTAGATTACAAGTACAGATGTAGCTCTGGGGGTGGGGGGTAAATGTATTCCTGATCTGGTGGCTTGTACATGAAGCTGCAGAAGGGAAAGGAGAAGGGAAGATTCCCCTCGGGAGGCTCCGCAGGTGGCTCTGGTATCTCTACACGAGACATTTCTGATGCCTGATGCATGGGGCTGCTGCAACGAGGCTGTCAACCAGAGCAGCCTCGGGATTGCTCTAGCTTGTGACACAATCCCTCCTCCTCCAGGCAATGCCTCCAAAGACGTTGGGATTGCCCCTTGCAGCATTTCCAGTCTCACAGCAAGGCGAAGCAGCCACCTTAGGAGGTTGAAGGGCTTGGAGGGAAGCCTGGCTTTGCTTCAGCTGTTTTCTGCAGCTGTCGGGAAGCCCTTTGCAATGTTGTGCTCAGAGCCTAAGCCGAGAGCTGACATGAGTATAATGAAAGTTAATCCAAGCCAAGCAAGGCTTTTCTTACTCCTGCACCATGGAGGCACCCTGGAAGACCTTGCCTGGTGCTCTCAGCCAGCAACTGGACTCCAGCTTGGTTGCCTGGAGAGGATTAAGTCACCTTTGTACAAATCTCAGAGTGAATTTCTCTCTCTCTCTCTCTCGTGAAATCTGGCAGGGTTGTGGCCATTTACCTTCTTCAAAAAAAACGTTTTCCTTGCAGACCTCATAGCCTGTGCCCACAGCAGAGTAATGCCACTTGGCAGGTTTTTCTTCTCCCACATGAGTTGCAATGAAAAAAAATTCATTTTGTTGATATTTTTCCCTGTTTCACAATGCTGCAACTTGACATTTTACCAGGAAGGCAATCGTGAGCGTTGTTGAACTGACCCTTGGTCGTTCTTTCTTGCCAGTTTATCAAGCTACATAAGAAATGTCAACAAATGCTTTCATTAAATGCTTTGAGGGATGTGGGATAAAAAAAACCAAAACACACCACCACCAAAAAGGGTTTAAAAATTAATTATGATGCCATTGTAGTGAGGTATGTCAGTTGGAAATTGCTATTTTTCCCTTGCAAGCTAACTTTCCACTTCTTGACCAGTTCTTGCTTTCCCTTTTTTGAAGAAGCTGTCTTGCTTTCATGCAAGCTGGAAGACAAAGCTCTCCAGGGCATGTCCTTCAGGTGCTCAGTCTCCAGTCACCCTTCCTTACCCCCATCGGACCTCCTGACCCTGACGTTTGCCGAACCAGACTCTTCCACAGCCAAATGGCCAGTAGGGTGAGGGTAACGTGGCATGGGGCAAACCCACCACCCTTCTACATTGATCACCTAGGCTGTGACACCATCTTAGACACAGCCTTTGCCTGGCTGTGCTCTGGGGCTGAACAGGGAAGCAGGGGTGACCTGTCAGATGTGCACCATCAGCCAAGGCTTTCCCAGGGGGATAAAGCCCTCTTCTGCCCTCCAGGAAACAAAGGCGGATGGGTGAGAAACAAAGCCTGGCAATGGTTGACTAAAGGATGACATGCACAATGAGGAGATGGCACAGGAGATGAGGGCAGTCACCACTTGTGCCCCTTGGGAGCCTGCCTTGGCTTCCCGAGGGCTTGGGAGCTCCTTGCATGGTGAGAAGTCCTGTGGAGGTAGGTCCATGGGGTGACAACTGGGCAGGGGGCAGGGCACAAAAGGTCCCACTGTGGGCAGGAAGGGTGGGCTGCTCTGCGGGGCATAGCCTCTCTCACTCTTCCCACTCATTACTGGGGCTTGGCTCGAGATGCAAACACCCTGTCCTCCCTCCATGGACTTGTCTCATTAAACCCTGCTTTGTTCAAAACCGCCCAGAATATTAGCAGAATTTGGGTCAGAACCCAGAAATCCTCATTCTCCTTCCCTTTCCCAGAGGCTCCTCACAAGCACTAGAAACATTCAATTCGTCCCACGCTGAGGACCAAACCGTCACTAGAAATGATGAATGTTCTCTTTTTAAAAGGAGTACTGTCAGGTCAGCAGAGCTCCACAAAGCTTCCTGGAAAGAAATAATGGGATTACAGGGGCCACATCACGGGAAGCTGTGGGGTTTTGGTTTACACAGTTCACCCACAGGGCCAGTCACCACAAAGTAATTCGATGCACCAGTTCATCTGTGTGGGACGACAGTGTGATCCCACACACGCTGTGCAATGTCCTGGAGAAACCCATGGGGAGCACCCAGCAGAAGCCACGCATTTTGCTTCCTTCGATTCTCACACGCCAAGTGCAGGAGGAGCCTTAGGTATGTCTTGCTCACACAAACCGATTTTAACACACTCTGCCTCTTTCTGCATGCCCAGCTCCAGCAGGCAAAGAGCTGCTTTTCATCTGCATGGTTGGAGCATGCTGTTGGTTTGAACTTCCCCAGGTGGGAGGGGGAACCAAACCCAGGCCTTTCCTGGCGGAGGAGCTACTGCAGCTCCCAGGCTGGACCACAGAGGCCCAAAGTCTTACGAACCCAGGAAGGACTTTCTGTTTGGATTGAGCCTCAGAGTCTCCCAGGGATGTTTAGTATAAGGGAGGGAGAGAAAGTTTTGGATGCATCCTTGCCTGCTGTCCAGTCTAGGTAGCTTAGCCCAAATAGGTAGAAGTAGCTCAGGGTGTAGCCCAGACTTGTCTTCAAGTCTGCCTTAACCATATGGTCACAGGGAGGAAGACCAATAATGTTCCCGTTGCCGGTGGTCCATTTCCCTGCGTTGCTATGGGGGGACGTATCAGCACAGAGCACCTCATGGAGCGGAGGTGTGGAGTTCCTTGGGACCTCTTCCCAAAAGAGAAGTGCCCCATGGACAGCATCCCAGTCTGTGGTCCATAAAGCTCAGGGTGATGGTCTGTGGAGAAGCGGCTGCTCCCATGGGACTAGTCCTTTTTATTTCCTAAAGATCAAAAGAAACTTGAATCTAAACTGGTGCTTTCCTCACTGAGCGCAGCCACTTGGATTCAAGCACGGAGAAGCACAAGGCGGTTATTTTACCCTCACCAAACACTTCAGAGAAGTCAGTTAAGTCTGTGTTTTGGTTTGAGGCTCCATCTTCAAAGATGCTCAGATGCCACCCTGCCACGGCTGATTTTAGATGCTCACGCCCTTGTGGTGCAACCCACAGCCCCAAACAAGGTGTCTCATCTCCTTCTGCGGTGCCTGGGAGTTACACACCACCAAAGCCCAGCATACCTCTGCCAGCTGACACCTGCAGAGCCTGACATGGGTCCCAAATCTCACCCTCCTTCAGTGTTGAGTTTAGTCTGCGTTGACTCCCTCAGAATTAATCTTCATATTACCTTTCCTGGGGGAGGTAGTTACCTCTGGGTTTTGTTAAATTAAGGGGTGTTAAAATGCATTCAGGATTGGGAATGGTATAACTAGGACAAAGCCCACTGCCAGAGGAAAAGCCTGGCAGCTCAGCATCTGAATGAGGCAAACAGAGGGACTGCTCAGTGAGCTTACTCGTGGGCTTACACAGGAGAAGAGCACATCATTTCTCAGATGTTCCTGCAGTTACGTCTCTGCTATGCACATAAATACTCATCCAGCCCATGAAACTCCCTCTCTCTCCGAAATGGGGTAGCTGCACCCAAACTTGCCCTTTGGGGATGGTCCTATTCTGTGGTAACTCCTAAACTGTGCCCCGGTTCTAGCAATTTAACAGTAGAGATGACCCCCCTCCAGTGCCTGTGCCCATGTCCTTTCACGGCTTTAAATGCAAATACAGACAAATCCTTCCTGGACCTGCTACGTAGCAGAGAACTCCCAACGCAGGCCAGTCTCCATCACCATATCCGTGCTCTAGACTCCTTCTCCGCCTCTCCACCTCCCTGCAACCACAGAGCAATCTGCAACAAGGCTCATGTCAGCACTGTTTTGGTGCTGCATTGTTGTTTAAATTCACTTAAGTACTTATTCAGCCAATATCAGTATCCCAAGTGGAGATAATAGCGGTTAATATTCAATAATAAATGTCTGACCAACAGGACATAGGTGTTTTACGATTTCCCAGGAGAAAGCATCAGACATTTGTGTCCCTTTTCAAGAGTCTTTTCGTGCATTCTGGCTCACACACGTCAGATTTCAGTGCCAAACATTGGTGAATGTGAGACGGAAAACGCATTTTCCTACTGGGACAAAGTCAGAACTGTCCTAAGATGTCCCAATTCACAGCAGAGTTTTGTTCTTTAACCACATTTAGGAGGAAGAGGACTCTGAGGGCTTAATTTTAGAACGTGTAAACCTTTGTTCTGACAAATTTCATGAACGGAGAAAATACAGTCTGACCACTCTGATCCTTGGGTCTGTCACCGTTCCGTGGCTGGTGATGGCTTTACTTTCAGCACTGATGAAGAGCAGCCACACTTGACAGCGCAAAGGCAAACACGAGGGCAAAGAAGAGGCAGGAGGAGTTGGGGGGGGGAGGTGCTGCAGCCCTGGGGCAGTTCAGCACATGCCGAGTGCTGCAATTTGCTCGTACACCTACACAGAGCCTCTCAGAGCGAAAACAAGAGCAGGAGTTTGCATGTCTGAATAAATCACCTTCTTGGGGCCAGATTCTCAGCAGGTCCCAGCTGACGTGGCTGGCTGGAGCTCAGTGGGCATATGTCAATCCTATAAACCTGGGCCAGGGCTTAACATGCAGAATCAGGTCCTGGGACAGGTCAAGCGGGGTGAAGGACCGAGAACAGCAGATGCACAGTAAGACCTTGGGTTTGTCTTTCACTTCGGAACATGAGGAGCCTGAACCTAGCTGAGCCTGAACCAGAGCAGACTCTGGAGACATGGAGGCAGATTCCTTGCAGCGTTGGATGACCCCTTTTGTGTGGACTGGGAGTAATGCTTCAGATTTTACAGGTAACTTTAATTTTAAAGCTGGGCACTCCTGGACTGTCACTTGACCAAGCAACTAACCCATGCCATGACCTGCTCTGTAGCACCATGGCCAAGGAGAAGTTTGGGCATGCACATACTACTAAATTCACTTTTCTACCTCTACTGGTTTCGGCTGGGATAGAGTTAATTCCAAAATTGGGTGGTCCCGTACAAATTGCATGTTGTGAACAGTCCCCAGCATGTGCGAACTCCTGAAGCTCTAACTGTTTGGCAGGGTGCTAACTGGTACAAGCCAAGACCATGGTGGGGCCATGCTATTTAAATAACCCAGCCTAAACACGCTGTGTTTAGGCAGCTGTGATGAGGGTTGCACAGTGTGGGTGATGGACCTGCATGCCCTGCATCGCTGCATTTCATTCGGTAAGGACATGGGCTGGTGTACTTCTTTCCTGGATAGAAATCTCCATCTATCCTTTCATTGGATGGATGAATCCTACATACTCTTAATTGACTTCTCATGAAGGACTGCGTAGAGTGGGGGAGAATTCACCCTGCAGCAGAGGACAGCGTGGTGGAGGCAGATTTCACCCCAACTGTGACTACTGGATCATTTTTGGATGATCTTCAGAAAGCTGCCCGGGATACTCACACTTGCTTGGGGCAAGGCTGGGTTGTGTGGTGCTCCCAGGTCTGTAGTCTCCTACGTTAAACGAGACCAGAAGGGTTGATTGCCCGCTTAGGGTGACCTTACTCGAGGTGTGGGGTGCTGGACCCCTGCCGGGCTGCCCCGAGCAGGGTGCTCTCTGAGGGATGCTGCCCTTTCTGGCTTTGGCTCCTGCCTTAAGTAAATGTAGAAACTTAGACACAATCATATCCTGCTCTGAAGCCTTCCTGTTTGCTTTACTATCACAACTTGGGGATAAACAAGGAAAAATCCTGGCTGTGTTGGGATATGTGGAATCTTGTTTCTTTGTTTGAAAAGAAACTGAGTTTCACCCTTGAAATGTAATGTGAAATGCATCTTTTTGTTCCAGCATCCTGTGATGCGATGGCCACGCTGTGTTCTCACTGTTTGCTGGCAGCTCTTACCCAACAGTAGTGCCTCCAACATAGCTATTTAGCTGTGCGGTCAGTCAAATACATGCTCTCTCTTTTGGGGAAGTTGTTCTAAATTACATGAGTCACGTCCAGATCCAGCAAAGACCAGTATAATTAAGAGGCAGGAAAATGGAAAGTGAGGAACAATTAGGGTTTGCTTTGCCCTTTTTCTTCTTTAATTTAAACTTTCAGTTTTCGTCAGATGGTGGTTTATATACCACACCCCAGTCTAAAGGGTAAAACCAGACTCTGAGACAATTTATATGTGCATCATGGGCAGAAACTGAAAGAACAAACCAAATCTTTTAAAATCTGGAGCTCTGAGAAGGAAAATCTGCTTCTTACTGTCTTTTGGCATCTTGAAATTTGGGGTTTACATCAAGTGCACTGTGAATTTAAGATTGCATCACAGATGCAAGCATGGACCCAGATTTAGGTCTCAGTTCTGGAGCTGAGATTCTCCAGAGTGCTGAGTGATTTTAGGAGATCAGCTCAAAACTCTTCCTAATAGTCCTGGATTCCTGAAAGCACTGCACTCGCCTTGTGAAAGCCATGGTCCTCAGAAGCGTCTCAACCACCAAAACGGTGACATCCAGAACCACCACTGTAAATAACTTCTCTAGAGATCAGTCTAGCTGGGCGAATACAGCAAGAGCAACAAAAAGTTGACAAATAAATATTATCTGAAGTAAAAGTTGCAGAGAATTTTTAAAAGCTATTATTCATTGTTTTGCATGAGAAGTTTTCCTCAAGGACTTTCAGTGCTTATCAAAAGCAAAGCATTTGCACAGGAACGTTTTCACAAGTGCATCTGAACCGCAGGTGATGTCCCAGCTCCCTGGGACCCCGTTGCAAATATTTCTTCTGTCAACACAGTTGCAAATGCTGGTGGGACTCACAGGCAAACTTGCAATTAGGCGACAGAAAAAAAGCCACGTGACATGAGCTGCTTCCAGTCCTGTGGGCCGAATAATAAAGATTTTTCATTCCAATGAGGAGAAGGGAAGGATCACTGGGAAGTGCGGTCTTGGTGTCTGCTTGTTCCTACGCTTGTGAAGAGCACCGGGGCCCATTCTCCAGCCCTGAAAACAGCTTCCCTGATCTGGTCGTGTCCATCCTATTGACCTCCTGTGGCCTCCAGAAAAGATGTGCCGCATCCACACTTTCTCCTGGGAATTATCCCCAGGCTGTGCTGACTTCTGAGCTGGGTTGGGAGCTGCTTGGCCCAGGTCAAATTTGTGCCAAAGACCATGATAGCAACACAACATATAAAAGATGAGCTTCCAGCACCCATGCCTTGGCTCTGTGTATTTTCCTAGCATAGGTGTAGCATTTTTGTCTTGTTTTCCTCTCTGTGAAACTACCAGTTCATAACTACCAGAAATAAACATATGTGTAAGATAGGGCCCAAGGTTGGGATGGGAGGATGACAGAAATGTGGACCAGCTTCTAATGAAGCAGGAGCCAACAGACGATGAACCTGTAAGAGCTGGATGAGGAAGGGTCTGAGATAAGGTTCTGGCATACGGCAGAAAAAGGAATATTATTCATTAGATATTACATGGTTAGAACAAGGGGTTTCCACAACAGTTTGAAACGAAAGGAAGCACTTGGTCTCACCGTGCAGCAATGACTTGGGGGAAGCAGGTTACCACAAGATCTTATAGAGAGTCATGAGTTAAAAAAAAAAGAGGAAGGGAGAATTAGGTGAATACTTGGAGGTTAGATCCGCTAATGCATGTTAAATGCAGTGGTCAGCATACAACCTCCCGCTGGGGGAGTTGCTAAACCACTGACAGCCAGAAGCTGCAAGGGCAGATCCAGGGGATGGATCTAGTCACGCTTCTGATGAAGCATCCCTTTGTGATGCCCATCAGAGAAGGGCTATTGCACCAGCAGTGCCCATGTATTCATGGCGTACTCATACCTGCAGTATTCATCTGAGTGTTGAGATATAATTAGAGAAACAGGGGAGGGGACAAACTGCTAAGAAGTCCCAACCAGGGCAAGCTACCATATTTCCCCAGCCTGCTGGATGCCAGCAGGGATGCTGAGATGGACCCAGCTCCTTCCCTGAGGTTATGGGCGCTCTGACATTTGCCTTTTCCCTTCTGTGCTCCTGGCTGCTCCTGCTCCCACCAGCCACAGAAAATGCAATGGTTGATTGTTGCCTTTTCACCCGGGGCTGAAGGCGGGTAGGAATAAGGAGTCGCTGGTTTCCCCATTCCTTTTTTTTTTCCCCCTCTTGAAAAAGTGTGCTATCTAACAGGGACAGCAAACCACTCACCAGTTCCTTCCTGAGCCACGTCAAAGCTTCGTCGATGCTCTCAAAGCCACCTATTCTCCCTGAGGTAAGAGTCACCTTGTCCTGGGCAGGGCTCCCATTGAGATGCAGCTGCGCCTTCCTCAAGGGGACAGTCTCCCCCGTGGCCTTTTTGGCCTCGGTCGCCTCCTCCTCCTCCTCTTCTCCTGCTGGCTGGGGGCTCTTCCATGCCTGCTCCTCCAGCTTTGCTTTCCACTCCAAGTAGGACGGGCGCCTGGTCTCCAGTCTCAGCTTCTCCGTCAACGCCTTGAGGCTCCTCAGGTGGTCATCAGGAGGAGCAGCAGCTCCAGAGCCAGCATCCGTGCTGTCCGGCACCTCTTCTATTTGGATTTTGGGTAGAGACATCCTCTTTGGGAGTCAAATGGCATAGGGGTGTGCTGCAAAGGGCCAGGGATGGAGGTGGGAAACCCTCAGGGCTGGACCATCTCCTGTGGGGTGCCAAACGCAGCCCCTTGGAGGACAGCTGCAGTGGTGGTGGCTCCTGCTCATGCACCACGCTGGCCCTGGATGAACACCTGGAAGAAAAGCAGATGGTTGGTTTCCAGTTTGAGAAGGAAAAGTGAGCAAGAAGGGAGAGACGGCTCCTGCTGCAGTGGAGGGAGCAAGGGCTTTGGGAGAGGCATGGTGCCAAGGTGCTCCTGGGGAGTGTTACCTCACCTCAGCTATCTGACTGCTTTTGGGGCAGGAACAGACAGGCTCTGGCTTTTAGGGAAGCTCTGGTTACCTACATCTCTCATATTAACTCAAGGGGCCCTGAAAGGGTTTCCAAGGAGGCCAGGACACGTTCACAGACCCCTCTGGATCTGTATCAACAACCCAACGTCCTCTGGAGACAGCAATGACTGTTGCTGGGGGTCAGGGTGTTTATACGCGCTGTTTTGTTGATTTCCTGGCTGTCAAACCTACATCTTTCCACTTGGGCAAAACAGGACCAGGTGAAGTAAGACAACCCAAACTTCTCCCAAGAGTTTGAGCCAAAAGGAGAGCTGGGAAAAGTGACTTGCTTTTTTTTCCCCCCCAGTTTTACAGATTTGTGTTTAGGTCTAGTTTTGCTAAAGTTGCCAATCTGCAGCCATAAGATTCATCTCCCTCCTGTCCAGCAGGCTCAGGGCAGGAGCATGGTCCCCAGCCAAGTGTGGGAGTAACTGTGGTGCTGGCACGTCTTGGGTTCAGATGCCTGAGCTCAAGGAGACTTGGACTTGTGGTTTCCATCACTGGACAAGTCCGGTCTGCCCACTAGGAATGGTCCCAATGGTAGCCTTGAAAACACCTTGGTGGAGGAACTAGCACAGAGTCCTGGGAAAACTCCTAGCTCCTCCTGCCATGGGCTGTGGACTTGGAGAAGCTATGCCCATGGCCAAAACTGGCCTACCAAACCTGCCTCTGTGGGACCTCGTGGGACACAAGACTCTCAAAACTCCGCAAGAGTTAAGCTCAGGCAGCTTCTGCATTCATTTGATGGTAGGATCAGATAAAAGACTTTCTCAAGGTTGTATGCTCATCTATGGCTGAGCCAGGAATAGATCCAGAGCTCTTGTCTACACGTCAAACGCAAAACAAAATACTTTTTTGCCTGCCTGGTAACATGCCCAGAAAGACCGGCCAGGACGTATGCAGCTTTCTAGCTCGATGCACTAAACCACAACAATATGAGTTACTCAGCCATTCTTTTCCCTGTTATTTGCGCCCATAAAGACGTGTGTAACTCTGAAATCCAGACCATAATTATGCCTCGCGAACCTTTTCAGTAAGAAGATTCGATTGAAAATAAACACCAACAGAGAGCAAGATTTATCCCACAATTGTGTGCAGGCACATGAGCTGAACGAGGAGTTGATAATATACACACAGACAGTCTGGGGGTGGAGAATTAGTCATGTTGCGGTCTTGTTCCTGCTCCTATTTATGTTAATGAGAGTTTTACGGTGAGCAGGAGCAAACGCAGAGAGTATGTCAGGTTGAAGCCAACAGTTCTCATGCCTGAAGCAGCAACAACTTTCCTTCTTCTGTTGAAAAATAGATCGTATGGAGGGGAAAGCAGAGGGCTGCCCCGTTGGAGAGTCAGGTCCTGCACCAGCTCTTGCACGGATGCTCTGCAGAGCTGAGGGCATGTCAATGAATTTCACCTGCCTCCAGCTCCAGCCTACCGAAATCAATAAAGGGAAACACCTAATGACTTTAAAGACCTCACCTCTGAGCTTTTTTTTCTGTCCATTGAGATGGAGATTGCTAGGGGTGGCCAAAACCAGCAGCCCAATAGAGTCTGCTGCAGCTCCACACTGGGCTACCAGATTTGGTAACCCCTAGCAAAGATACTATTTTTATTGTAAGGCTGACTTTTCTGAATGCCACAGCTACGAAGCAGACCCCCCACAAACTCTGTTGTCTTGTGCCTTCAGCACGTATAACATCCTCAGGGTGGAAAAGTCCCTTGCTATTTGAGCCCTGGGTACAGCTCAGTTAGCATTTGCAGCACTGGACCATGAAAACAGGACAGCAGTTTGGAGCGTCCCCTTTGTCACGGCCCCGCTGCCGTCTCCCCCTCCCCGTCACCGCCTCCCAGCAGCTTTGGAGGGATTTGATTTTTCTACCCTAAAAGTGGCATCAATCCAACCCATCCTTCACCTCCTCCACGGTGCAACACGAAACTTCTCATTCACTCTCTAGCGACATCCCCTAAATAGGCACGTCTGTTCCCCGGCCTGTCCAAACTCAAAAATGACAGAAAGGAGCCACCTCCAATTTCCTATCAATATCTTGGACTTGGGTCAAAGGCCTGCTGTAGAAAAAGAGATCTGAAAGTGGTAAACGTGTGAAAAATGTCTGTGTGCGAGGCTGTAATACAAACCTGTTTGCTGCCCGAGAGCTACCTGATTCCCAGGAACAAACCTGGCCTCTGGCTCAAATCAACAGACTCCCAGTCTCCCTGCCCCAGGCTCAGTTTCCCCCTAGGCTGGCCTGTGCAAGGGAATTTAAGTGATTAACCCTTGATTTGTCTTCATTATTACACTTGCCAGGCTCAGGGTGTGCATGCCATGCCTAATTAGGGGGTAACAGGAGTTCGGCACTAAAATGGGGTGAGGGTCTGCTCCCACCTCACTAAGACCCTTTGCTCAGGGGTTTCACCCTTCCCTTGCATTAATCCTATCAATCCTGAAGGCACAAGGGCATATCAGGTCACCGAGACAACAAAAAACCCTTTAATTTCTTTGTTGGGTTAGGTTTCCATCAGAGAAGTCAGCTTAACTGACCTACCCTGCAAGCTGTAATGCAAAGGGATTAGCAGAAGCACACGTCCAGGATGGATAAATAACAGGACTGTCAAACTGGATTGGGTGTGAAGTCCTACCGCTCCAAGACTCACCAAGCTGGCATGCCCTGAGGCTTGGCTTTTGCACGGTTGTAGGTCAGCAACTGCAAATCCTGCTCTCTCCCATGCCAGACACATCTTGTGAAGCTCGTGGGGTGTCCTACGCTCTAAGAAACCGGGTCCACTGGCACAATCTGCCACCATGACTTCCCACTGCGGCCATTCCTCCAACCCTAAAGCAGATGCAGAAGACCTGTCCCCATCACACACCCTCAGACATCCCTGCCCATGCATTAGAGCAAGGGATCAGGAGACCCATGTGAACATCCCCTGACAAACCAGGTGTGATGGGGCAAGTACTAGGAGGCACAGGGATGTGTACAGGGGTGTGAGAAAAGCTTTGCTTTATTGTCACTGATGATGGTTGCTGTAAATTCAGATGCTGTTCACGGTCAAAAGGGAGCTTGCATGAAATGATGCTAGGCACAACCCTGCGGGAGTTTTACGTGCCTGAGAAGTTTTATACATCTGCACCTTCCCCATCAGCTCTCTGTGCCCTGGTCAGCTTTGAACATGAGGCATTCACGAAGCAGCATTAGTTGGTATGTGCTGGACCAGGGCAGCACAGGTACAGCCTGTTAAATTAAGGGCTGTAAATAAGGACACGTGGTGCTTTGGAAGGTCACACACTGGGGAGCAAGATCTCTAGGAGAAGAAAGAAAAAAAAGAAAGGAGAAAAACTCAGGATGGAAATGAGAGGCAAAAAGCAGAATAAATACAACTATCAGCCCAGGCAGAGGTGTGGGGAGCAAATTATTCTGCTCCCTTCGCGGTTCCTCGTGGACTTCAGCTTACTGTAATACCATTTTTTATTACAGAGGAGCAGCAGTGGTTGTAAGAGTCTATATTACTCTGCTCATCTAGTCTCTGAGAAGAAAAAACAGTCTCAGTGTGAGATAAAGCCCAGGCCAAGGCAAGTCCTTTTGCAGGATGAAGGGGCGCCCGCATGGCACTTCTGGCATGGGTTAAACAGGGCAGAGGTAATGGTTCAGTCTGTTAATGACCTTCAAAAGGCACTTCAGCCCCTTTTATGCCTCAATTTCCCTCTCACTGAGTAGACAGTTCATGCAACCGGCCTTCAGGAAAAAAGCTCTGAGGATCTTCAGAGATTCACCTCTGGTACACCTTCAGGTCTCTCCATCTCATCTGGGTCCCCATGCTCTGACTATAATCAGTGCAGGGACACCCTCTATGATCCAGGGGGTTTGGGACGTGGATCCCCTGACTGTTTGCAAGGCATTTGCTCCAAGGATTTGCATAGGTGTCACCCTGTGGACCATGCAGACATCCCTTGGTCTCCTACAGAAGAAAACCAGAGTAAATTGCACCTGCTAACATCATCATTGACCTCTGTAGGTCCTAGTGAGTAAGCAGGACCCTGAGCCTGAAACAGCAGGGTGAAGAAATACCGAGGTGGAGCAAGAGGTGGGGGGACGGTGCCCGGTGTGCATACTCCGTGCAGGGAGAGCCGTGTTTGCTTTCCTTCTCAGCACAGAAAAAAGATGGGGATGGGGTGGGGATGGCTGACACCCCACCCCCAACCCCCCGGAGGTCTGCAGCAGGTTGGCAGCGGGGCAGCGAGGAGGAGATGCCTGTGCAAGGGGGTTGCCATAGCAATGGAGTAAGGGAGGACTCCGACTGCTGCACGGTGGTGGATGGAGGCTCCAGAGCATCCTCCAGGCAGCAGAGACACCGAGGCCCCGGGCAGCAGATGAAGGGAGGAGAGACCCATCTGGGACAACACCGCAGCTCCCTGGAGCTGGTAGTTCCCTTTCAGGGAGGCTGCACATGAATAACTCCTTTCCCCATGCCAAAATGACCTCGCTCAGGAGCGGAGCTGCTGTGCCATGTGAGCTTTGGTGAGCTTGGGCTGTTCTTCACCCTGGGGTCCTCTGCCACAGCCCCCCCCCAAGCAGCACGGCTGTAGCACGCTGCTCTGCACAAGGCTCCTACAGAGATGGAGAGCAAATCACTC